TCGCTCCTTTTCGGATCGAACTAAGTAAAAGAAAAAAAATAATTTGCATAAAAAAATATTTACTTTTTTGTTGTTGTTAGTATTGCTCTAAGCCAACGAAAAAAATTATTTTATAAATCAGTACTCACTTTTCACTGTTATCTTAAAATCGACTTAAATGAAAGAAACAAATGGTTTACATAAATGCTTTCTTTATCTCATGGAGTTGAGATTACTCTAAATAAAAGAAAAATATTGTAATTTCTGTAATAAATACTTGCTCTTCATTGTTATGTTGAGAATTATCTAAATTAAAGAAAAAAAGTAGTCATCTATATAAATAAATACATGTGTATTTTGGCAGTGTTTTGACCGTCGGTATACCGCCGGTGTACCGGCGGTTTCTTCAAGTACCGCCGTATACCGACGGTACTTCAAGTAAATGTACGACATGGGCAAGATTATCAAATAAGGATGAAAGATATTGTTCAGATGCTAAAGCTAGTGTCATCATTTGTCGAATAACACTACGTATTATAAGATTATCTAAATAAGATGATAATAATGCAAGTGATTGAACGTGTCTATAAACATATTATGAAAAATGGAAAAAACACGCCTTTTGGATGGTTTTCTAAGGGTGTGATTCATAAGAAAGCCCACATCCTCTCTGAGTTTTAGTCATCATAGCAATGCAAAATACAATCGAGAGTGTTCACGAGAATCTTGCCACTAATATTACTCTGTACTTGATAGTTAATGTTATTTTATTATAGTATTGAACCACATGTGCCTTGTTCGAAAACCTATTGGCAATAAGTTTTTGAGCATTGAGAAATTACCCGATGACCTTCCTCTAGGTACACCACTGTTTCAACGCATTTAGTCCGTATTATTTCCATATTTCCACCGTCCCTAAAAACAAAACTAACGACATATATTACAAGTTAGTATGTAGAATTAGTGTCTATAAGTTTATCTCATAACATTAATCCGCAATCTTCCAGTCTAGGGAGAAATGAATCATCGTTCGACGTTCGCCGTTAACAACAATCATTTAATGCGGAAACATTTGGTTAAATGTTTCTTAAGATAAATTAGCAATCGTCCAAAAGGTGAGGTCTTCCAAAATTCCAAAAGATATAATTTTGATAAATAAACATAGATAAAAAATGTTAGTGTCAATGTACTATAAGTTAATAGTTGTGTTACAGTTTTTGTTCGTGATACTCCTATGGAATCTGCTCGTAAACAATTCATCAATTTATCAAATATGAAATAAGGACTAGTCATTAGACTATAAACTATCGGTGGTAGAAAGAAATCATAATGTTTCGATGCAACTAAAATCAGTGATGAACGAAATGATTCATCGTTGACTAAGTTGAGACGATGGTTAATGAGATGCTTAAAGATAAATACACATGCAATTATGAATGAAAGTGGTGAAGCTATATAGTTAATATACTCAAATATTAAATAGAATGTATAGCCAGTTGATGTAAAGTTCAATAGACAAAAATCATATGAATTATAACTGGTGTCTTTTCGACCAAATATAATCGGCAGTAGATTTGATAATGGTAATAACGTAAAAAGTAATATGGAAGAAATAAATGAACGTCTTCTTGAATCATAAAGACTAACAAATGAATATTCAATAAGAACACGTTCAACTGCAATGTATAACCAAAGCCAATAGAAACAGAAACTCAACGAATTTAGAAGTATACGTATAAATGCGCACTGAATCAAATAATTCAATTTTGAAACCTTTTTAAAATTAAAAACTAAATTCATAAATGCAAATACACTTTGTATAATACTGATAATCAAAGAAGTTAATGAATATAAGATTAAATATATACCAAGATTTGTTATACGTATTTTTTTAGAAAACAAAAAGGTTTGTAATGATAATAGATTGCTTATGAATGATACTATACCCAGTATACCGAGTACAATTGTTTCATTGTATGGATTATAATCTTTTTTATTTTCTTCTGATATACCATAGATCCAAAGATTTTTCGAATATCGTTCAATTTCACATTGATTACCTGTAAAACATCTATTACATAAACAGTAGTGTGTTGTTGTTGAGCGATTGACTAAAAGGTAGCATTTGCCATTATTTTGACAAACGTTTATGGAACACGGTAAGCTTAAATTATCCATTGCGCGAAAACACTTTATTGAATCATATGCGTCATAGATATATGCACGTGTACATATTACAATGATATGACTACATTTATTTTTTCTTGCGTTCGTCGGTGCGTGTTGTAAACGCCCACAACATACAGCGAAAAATGTAAGAGACAAATATTCTGATTACATCACTGATATATTGCTAATAGTCAATAAAAAGAATAAGAAAGGAAGTAAACAAATTTTATGGTAAGAGCTGCTGGTACTCAACATCATACGTGCTATAAATATATTTTTTACTTCCTTTTCGTTTTGTTTAACAGGAAAAAACAGTATCATTACGCATGTAGCCGATTTTTACAAATAATGTACATTATAATGCATTATTTTGTCATAGAAAGTCAATGAATGCAATGGCATTATAATGCAACCTAATAATGCATTATAATTCATTGATTATGTTGGGCATTGCAATGAATTGAAGTTTTAATACATTATAATACATTATTTAGGTTGCATTATAATGTAGTTGCATACATTATTGTTTAAAATGCATTTTAATGGATTGAGAACGTCATAATCTATACTCTTATCCCTTTACGCTTACCTTCGTACCCTTAACTCTATTTCGTTAACCCTAAACCTTTATGCCTATATCCTTATTCCTATACCCTTAATACTATTTCCTCAACCCTATGCCCTTAACCGAATACCCTTATTCCTATATGCTTAGCCTTATACCCTTCACAGTATACCTTTAGCTCTAGGCAGCTATATTTTATGATTGTTCTTCTTTGACTGTAGCCTGATATTGATTTCCTTTTGACCACATGCTATAACTTTATGTGAGGAACAAAAAAAAAAAAGAAAAGTTTTGCTATTGCATTGTATTTAAAGCATCCGTGAAAGTTATCCTGGAGAACGTCGTAACTATTGGTAGTCTTTGGTTGGTGTGCATGACGAACATATTGGCTTGAATTTTCTTCTTGATGAATCTGCTCCTCTGTAAAGCTCGAGAAGTTCATTGTGGTTCGAAGTGGAATGTTGGCGAAGTGCAATTAAGTATCTGAGTGTTATTGTGTGAAAGATGAACATAGAATTGATTCAAACTAATTGAAGCAAGTTTTGTATGGTAAACTTGGAGGCATTAAAAAGTTAGCCAGGGTAACCTTGGCGCAGTCTTGAGATGTGATGAAGCACGAAACTTTCGTCTTTTCTTCGTTATTTGAAACTTACACGTATTCTTTATCACTAAACCATTAGATTTATATGTTCATAGCTTCATTTGGATGAATGTTCGTTAGAAAGGTGTGATATATAGAAAGCGGTGAAGGGGCGTCATGGCTTGTGTATGTCATATTTCCTCGTATCATTGTTGTGACGTTGTCGTATGTATTTTTCATCTACATCTTCTTGTGTTCTGTTGTCATGCGTGAAAGCATATGTTCGCCTTTCTAGGATGATCATCTACATTCGTTCTCTTAGTCTTTCTGCATAGATCATGAATGTTCTCTCTGGTACTTTTCAGAGAGTTCTTGGTTCTTTACCAGCTTCTGGATATTTCCTTTTGTTTCTGCGCTCATGTATATTTATATACCACTCGCCTGCAACAATAAACGTGTTATACATACGCAATAAAACTACATTTGTCTTTGAGCACAGCTGGTAAATTGTCGACAGTCTGTCTTAAGCTTTGTGACATCTTGTGTTTGATTTTTCGAACGATCTTACTGCAATCTCCTTTCCGTGCATTGTGCACTCCTAAAGTTAAGAGATCAAAATTCTAAGTTATAAATCATAACCTATTAAAGTCTTACTGAATTATGAAACTTCTGGACATGTTCTCTGGAACTACATATAGGTTTGACTGCATTACGAAACATTTAAGCATTATTTCTAATAATGTATGAAAATGCGTTAACTTACGTTGAAAGTTTACTGAATTGTGGAACATTGATCAGTTATTTCTGAAAATGCATTGAAATGCATTGGAAATTTACTAAATTTTCAAACATTTCAACACTATTTCTCATAATGCATGATAATGCATTGATTTTCAATTCATTATTCGACATTAGAACATTATTTTCGGAAAATGTATTGAAATGCATTGATCTCCAATGCATTATTGACCATTAAAACATTATTTCTGGATGATGCATTGCAATGCATTGAAAATTTACTAAATTTTGAAGCATTTCAACGTCATTTCCGATAATACATTGATCGCCAATGCATTATCAGTCATTAGAACATTTTTCCTCGATAAGGCATTGCAATGCATTGATTGTCAATGCATTATTTGCCATTTGTACATTATTCGTAAATAATGCATTAAAATGCATTGAAAATTCAAAAATTAATGCATTACAATTAATTGTTTGATAAGTTTTAGAAAATAATGGAAAACAATGGATCGTTTTCCCATTATTTATCCATTATTGGCTAAATGGGTTGTTGATGTATATTCTTTCACCATGATCATCAAGACAGCCATCCCACTATCGCCCTCACTCTCAGATTGGGTTTTGGACTTAGGAAGATGATGTCAGTATCTGCTGTTCGGCTATGGCCGACTGTGATCAGTTATTTCCAAAAATGTGAAATCGTTCACTGAATTTAAACATCGTATTACTGCGCTGAAAGTCCGACCATTTTCAGGTTGACCGACCGAATCAGTCTGGATACTTTCACCTTAGCATGTAAAAATAAAGACGACAAATACTGTCAATTGACTCAAAAAATAAAATAAATTGATATCGATGTTTATATCACTTATTTTCTTCAATGACGCTGGTTTTCAGCATTCGTATTTCATGATATATAGAGAAGAGAGTAGAAATATGTCAGTATTACGGTGTTTGGTGAAGTATCAAGAGTATTGTAGCATTGTTGTCCTGTTTCGTCAAATTTCGTATCTTTCTTTTTAATTGAAGATAAACAGGATACTGTTGGGCAGCTTTTTATATATGCTCATAAGTGTGTGATAATCAATAATATAAACTGATATAGATATTATCATGTTATCAGTTTGGAATTGATTTCTCTTGATCAAACCTAGGCGGATAAGTTAGGAATCCGATGGTGTACTATCAATGATTCCATCAGACACCAACAAGGGCAAGCACTCCTTTAATCAAAATTCGATGAACTCTGACAGGACCCTTAAAAGATGTAATGTACCGGTCGGATCTGTAAGTGGTCGTATGATCAGAATAACAATCAAGACCCGATAAGTGATAGAGTTTTCCAGTTGCATCCGATAAACAAACATGAATAATTGAATGACGGATCTACATTGTCGGAAATGATCGAATGTGCTGAGTAGAACCAGTCGATTCTTATATAATTCGACATGTACTTGTGTTATGGATTGAAGGATTTCTGCCGTACAGTCTTGTTCGAAATATCATTGCAGATGGCGAAATCTGATAATTTCCTGATATCCGAATACAGCAGCTCGTGTCGGATCAAATCGTTTCCAACGATTTGAATTCGGTGAGCGGACGTTAAAGGGCAAAGTTGTAATTCATCATATGACAGCAAAAAAGTATCTGACGGAATCTAAGCCAATGATAACAGCCTCAGTGTTTTTCTTGTCTTTCACTCTCAAATTGACAAAAACGTACCATCTTTTATATGTGTCTAAAACATGATCATTTGATACAATCGATATATCCGTATCTTTACTCGATAGGAACAAGATGAAGAGAGGATTGACGATCTTCCTTTACATGAAAATGTTTCTTTTTTATATTGAAGAAAGCTCTCAATTTTGAGCTTCTGTGTCTAGCTTTGTTCTATTTTCAAATAAAAGAAAATAAAAAACCAATCATCGAGAGTTAATCTTGTTTCTTTTCATTTAATTTGAATTGTGAGATGATAAATGTCAAGATTCATCCAGTATTCGAGAGCATAGACTCAAATGGATGCATTTCATCTGTCTCGATCGATGTAATTTGCAGACCTTAAAAAGAGATCAGCTTCTCAATAAGTCTCGCAGAAAAAGTAGCATTGTCTCATTTTTGTGGTTTCAGAGCTTACGAGGCATCCTTCTCAGCTTATCCCCAAGCGAGCTTTCCCGGTGACGAACGAACATAAAGGGTTCATTTCATTTATCATTATCAAAGAAACAATCCTCAAGTGAATTCCTAAAATATCAAATGTGTCTATCGCTCTGTCCGTAAGATAAGAGAGTAAAGGACTCTGTCGCGAATGTTGCAACCTCGATGAGAGAGAGAGAGAGTGGAAACATTGTATTTGAAATACAACACACTTTCGTCTTCGAAATGAATTCTCTGATATGTTTTGCGAGAGAGAAAATCTTGTTTTCCAATAGTTCTCATCATAAGAGCAATTTTGGTGTGTATTGACGAATCATTTTGTAAAAGACACAACTTTAGCTTAGTGCAGAATCGCACTATCACTTCAAAAATAAAAGAAATCGAGGTTGGCTAATGAAGTAAAAGTTTTGAACAGCTTTATCCAGCTTCAAGAATGCTCGACCACAAGTTGCTTTTTGAAAATTTTCATTTCGAACACTCACCTTGTCCAAGAACGCTTCGTCAACGAATAAAAAACAGAAAATTGACCGAACAGCTGTTTGTACAGTGATACCACCTCTCTCTGTTTTCATGCAAAATAAATTCATTTTTTAGAAAGAGAAGTGAAGCTTCCCGGCACCTTTCATGGATTTTTATTTGTTGTTCCTCGATCGATTCAGATGGTGAAAAGTGAAGCGATGTAATACCTTGAGCAAAACTCAGTTGCTAAGTATTTTAATGGAGCAGATGGGTGTGCGTGTGGATGTATGAACAGGAGGCTGTAGTCCTTGCAACTTCGGAACTACGCTGAACACTCACGCCCTAACCTACAGTTTGAACCAACTTCTTGAAGCTTCAAAACAGTTTTTCGAAAGCTAGTCTAGTTCAGATCTTTGTATGTGCGTTGTTTCAGATTAAGATTTGAGTTCTGGGGAAAAGGAACTTGCAGAGCCTGGTGAAAATGAATTTAATAAAAAGTCGCTA